CTGTAAGGAATGGCCAGTTCTCCTTCTCCACCCCCACCAAAAGCAAATCAACCTCCCCACCATCAAGTCAATGCCTACTCAGCAATTCTTCAGGGTAGCGTAGAACTGCCTGTGTTAGTCCAGGTGGACTAGAGAAACAAACGCATAGACACTCGTATGTGTGTAATAAAAAGCTCTATATAAAAGAGCAATTGAATATTAAGAAAACATCCAGCCCCATCCAGATCCAGTCCATCGTCTGATATTAGCCCATATGTCCAATACTAGTCTATAAATTCCTCTTTAGACTCACGCAGCACATGCAATGATGCCGAATGCAGGAATAGCAAAGGCCAGTGGGTGGAAGGGCTTGTGGATTCAGTGGCAGTGGAAGCATCTCAACGCTGGCGCACGTCTCCATGTTTCTCCTCCAGATCTCTGAGTGTCTCAACAGCAGGAAAGAGAAGGTCAGGAGAATGGATCTGGCCTCCAGTGAGCTATTTATCTCCATCTCACCTCCAAATAAGGTCATAAAGTTGCACCCTGATTGACAGGCTAGACTCCATCCCTTCGCTCAAGTTGACAGGAGATTATGAAACTGCTACACTGCCCCTGTGAGTTTCCATGGTGGTTACATAATTTCATGTCAACTTGAAGGTATAAACGAAGGGGTGGAGTCTAGCCTGTCAATCAAATCACAGACTGATGGTACCTCCTGGTGGGCATGGCCTTCTCATAAGGAGGATTCTGGAAATTTCCTCTCTCTCTGTCTCTGCCTTTGCCTTCCTGCTGAAGACCCACACTGGGAGCTGCCAGAGCCCCCAGCCTTGGATCCATAAGACTTTGCACCCACCTGCCACTGATGTTCCTGCATTTTGCATCACTGCCTGTGGCTGCGTGAGTCTGAAGAGGAACTTATGGACTAGTATCAAACTTGTGGATTAGCATTGGACTTATGGACTTGATCTGGACTGTGCTGGGATGTTTGCTTGATATATAATTACTTCTTAATACAAAGCTCTCTCTTTCACATATATATGCATATCACTGGATTTGTTTCTCTAGTCAACCTGGCCTAACACTACTTCTAAGACTGTAACTCTTCATGGGAGTAGAAAGCCCCATCTTTCTCTCATGGAGAGACTAGTGGTTTCAAACTGCAGACCTTGCAGCTAGCAGCCCAAGACATAACCACTATGCCACCGAAGATCCGTTTCCTTCTCCCCACTGGATATCAATTAACTGCTGCTCTTAGCTGCTGTCCAGTTGACTCCCTGGCTCACGGCCAACCACGTACAACGGAATGAACTGCTACGTGGTTCTGTGCCACCCTCATGCTCACTGGTGATCGGAGGGTTGTGATTTTAAGTGGGTGGTATTCAGAAGTAGATTTCCATCCCTGTCTTCATAATCTGCTTCAGTCTGTAAGGCCTGCTGAAACCTGTGGGCTAGGAAGCCCGTTGCACCAGCTCATGCTGGTTTCCTGGTTCTGCTGCCAAATTTCTCAAGCTCTCACTCCATCTTGAGTCTAGGAGGTTCTCAGTGCAGGGACCCTGAGTCCAAAAAACTCACTTCACTCTCAGCTCTTCTTCTTGACGGGAGTGAGGTCTCCCATCCACCCCAGGATAACTCATTTCCAGCCTAGCGGGATGGAGAAATGGAACCATTCCTTATTAGGGTTCAACACACTTTATTTTCATGGCTCCACGCCAACAAGAATATGATGAATCTTATTAGCAAGCTGTCCAATCCCCTTAGTGGGCCCAAAGCGCCTTATTTGCATCAACCAATTACTTGATGGGGGTTGCAAGAATATAGCTAGAAAGTAGTAGGAAAGGGACCCATTGCACTGCGTGTGGTTCCTTGTCCTGTCCAGGTCACGTCCTTGGGAAGCTGCCATGGAGGTTGAGAGAGAGGATGCACAGAGGGCCCCAGATACCAGGTTTGGAAGGAAGGCACTAGGCGTGGGGCCAGCTGTGCTTAACTCAAAAAGAGTTTGCTGGTTACTCACATTTATTCACACTAGTCCCTAGTCCACACCTCCCACAGAGACCAGAACATGGGCCTCCTTCTTCCCCCAGTCTACCTTGCAGCTCCTGGTAAGGGGGTGGGGGAATGTGCATGTGCTACGGCACAGCTGAAATCGCTAGGAAGCTCCTAGAGTCATTTCTGCTCTTTTGATAAGAGATGCAAAGATCCCCGATGATCCCCCCAGCAGCTCTCTGCCTTGGACCGAAACAGGCTGCCTGGAGCCACAGCAGCCACTTGGCAACCACGAGGAAAGGCCAAGTACACCACAGGGACGTGAACCTTATTGGGAGGATGTTATCCAGCTGGCACCTGGAACTGTTCCACGAGAAACTGGTGATGCCACCACAGTCATGGCTTGCATTGTCTGTTCTCCTCGCAGATAGAGAGTCACTTGCAGGAGGTAGCAGTTCGTGAAAGAGTACATCAGCGGGCTCGTGGCCACAAGTCCACCTGGTACCCACAAGTAGACGGGTCCTTTCTTCATCCATCATGGGGCTTCTCCTCCAAAAACTTCACACCCACACACCCATTATCTCATCAGAGGATCACAGGTTCTCCCCATTGGTTAAAGTGAAAACAAATATACTTTATTAAATCTGGTGGTGAGTGTGAAGTTTGGCACCTGGGCTACCACCCACGGGGGAACGAGCAAGCTCCAGACACATGTGGTTTGTTAGGGTCCAGAGATACGGTGCATGTGCACACCTGCACACACATATACACACATACACACACCAGCAAAGAATTAAGCTACTCTGCTTTATCAAAGCATTAAGTCACTACAAAGGAAACAAAGGGAGTCCCCTCACTAATTGAGAAGGGCCCCTTAAGCATAGATAAGAAACACTTACTTCTGGAAGAAAGCCATCCACCCCTTCCCCCCACCCCCCACCTTCTAGAGCAGTGGTTCTCAACTGGTGGGTCGTGACCCCTTTTGGCGTCGAATGACCCTTTCACAGGGGTCGCCAGAGTCATAGCAGTAGCAAAATGACAGTGCTGAAGTAGCAACGAAATTAATTTTATGGTTGGGGGGTCACCCCAACATGAGGCACTGTATTAAAGGGTCGTGGCATTAGGAAGGTTGAGAACCACTGCTCTAGAGAAAGGGGAGGGTGTCTAGGGGTCCATTTCTCGTTTTTAAGTGGCACTCAAAGGTGGGGGGGGGGGCAGAGGGTTACCACTCTGCAGATGGTCAAGCAGCTTTCTGATTGGCTCCTCCGTTCATCTGTGGGTCTCACCCATGGTTTCCATCGTGCTATCTGGGCCGCTGTGCCAGATAAGCTTGTCTCAGAACGGTCTTCAGCACTGCCCTGCGTTGGGACTTTCACTAGGGCCTGCCTTCCAGGGGAAGCCAAGTTCACACAGGCTCCCTTGTCCATCACTTGTTTCACAGGGTCCTTGTCCATCCCCTTAGTGGGCCAGGCAGCTGCCCCTGTTCTGTCGCTGTCAGAGAGGACAAGTCGTCTCAGATGGATGAATGGCAGGCACATAGCACTGTCCCTCTGCCGAACTAAACCCATGTGAACAACCCAGGCAGTGTTCGCAAGGCCCTGCCGTCTACCCTCTCTCCAAGAGAGTTCTGAGCTTCCGAAGGGGGGTGGGGGGATGGGGCCTGGTTGGTATGCGTGCCTGGATTCAGGGAAGATGCCATTCACTGGGAGGTCCTGACCTTGTAAGGAGGGACCCACCTGTCACTTCCTTTCCTCAGCCATTGCCCCTCCTGAACAGCAGAGCTTCACCTGTGCTCAAAAATCCTGTTTACCTAAGTCATTTCCTCTGAATGACCTCTATCTCTCCCCTGACCCTGGACACCAGCTCTCAAGGTCTCACGTGTGCTGGGCACCCCACCTCCCTCTGCCTGTTCCTTAGTCCACACAGACAAGTGCCTCTCCTGCCAAGTGCAGACAGGGGTCCGCTGGAACTAACGGGAGACCCACGGGGAAGACATGCCTCTTATGCCCTTCCAAGAGGGACACCTCGTGGACTGGAGGATGCACTGCAGCCGATTTCAGGGAATCAGGTTTTGTCACCGCAACTGCCAACAAGTTACCTTAACTTGCTGTGTGTCTCTGGGCAAGTCACTTACCGTCTCGGAACCTCAACGTTCTAAACTGTAAACCAAGGATCAGACTAAATTCTAAGGCCCATCCCTGCTCTGACCCTTTAGAAGAGCGGTTCTCAAACTGTGGGTCACCACCCCTGAGGTAGTTAGTTTATTGTGCCAACCTGGCCCATAAACACATGTGGAGTTAATTGAAGGGCAGAGAGCTAAATGGCTTGGTGAGCCTCGCCTTGCAAGTTCTGGGGTCTCTTGCTTTGTAATGGTCGGACCAAGGTGCAGCTACCTTAGCCAGTTCCCTGCTTCAGCTGGTAAGGATCACTTCCTGTGTGACATCCTTCTCCCTGAAGAGAAGCCACATGGACCTACCCTGATGCAGCCCTGGGTGCTGGAGCAGCTGTGTGGAGAGCCCTGCCAGTGCTGAGATGCTTACACATTCACTGATTTGGCTTTCCTCCTGCAGTCGGCATCATTGTGTGTGTTTTGTGAGATGGAGGAAGACTTTGTGGATTGGTGTTGGACATATGGGATAATATTGGACTTGTGGGCTTGGGATGTTTTCTTGATGTGCACTTACCCTTTATATAAAATTCTCTCTTATACATGAGTTTCTGTGGACTCGTTTCTCTAAAGTATGCAGACTACTACAACCCCAATAGGGGTCAAACAACCTTTTCACAGGGGTTGCCTGATCCATAACAGTAGCAAAATGACAGTGATGGAGTAGCAATGAAAATAATGTTCTGGTTGGGGGTTCCCCCCCATGTGGGGTGTTTTATGGGGTGGTGGTGTGATTAGGGTGGTGGAGCGCTGCTGTTGTAGAACGATGTTGTGAGGTGCTTTTTTTGCGCACCTTTTTTTTTTTTTTCACCCTTTTTTGTTGTTGGTTTTTTTCTGCTCCCCCTTTTTTTTTTTTTTGGAGATGGTCGTTTTAGATCCCACTCACTGCACATCACAGGTAGGGAAAGTAAGGTTTGGAGTCGAGGGCTACGACGCATGAGGTAAAGTCAGCCATGTGAGCCCACCCTCCACTCCTTGGGAGAAAGATTTAGGCTGTCTGCTTCCGTAAAGGTTTGCCGTCTTGGAACTCCAAAAGAGGCTGCTCCATGTTGTTTTACAGGGTCACCGTGTGTCGGAATCCACTCGATAGCAGTGACCTTGATTTTGGTTTGGTTATTAAATCATGGGTTGCTTGAAACTAGCCACAGTGGGAATATTTGCACCATGGGAATTGGCAATCAACACAAATTAGTCTCGCTCTCTCTCTCTTCTTTAAAGCTTTTTTTTTTTAACCATTTGTCAACCACTCTCTCCACAATAATAGGAACAGAAGACTCTGACAGCATGTCTCTGGGTGCTATTCAGTAGCCTGGGGAATTGGATAGCATCAAAGAGTAGCTATCCAGCCTAGCACACTTTGAAAATCGAATCTTCGACTCCTGGGACCTTAGAATCACGTTATTGCAAACCAAGAATCCTAAAGCAAGAATGTGAGAACCTAGAAGCCAGAAGAAGAGATGTTAGTGTCGAAAGCAGGGGCTGTTAGCAGATAGCAGAGAAGTGGCCCAGGCCTCAGACCCTGACCAAAGCCCTGGCTGGCCAGCCTGGCTCAGGGCTCAGGCCGCTTGCGGGCCACAATGAAGCAGATCCCAGTATTGGGGGCAAGGCTCACCGAATACAGCTTGGGAGCCTGAAGGAGCTCCTGGATGTCGAAGCCGGCGTCCAGGACAGCCTGCTCCAGCTCCTCCCTCTCCAGGGTCAAATAAGAGAACTCATACTTCCCCACCACGTAGGACGAGAGCCCAAGAGTGGCCATGGTCACCAGGTGCCCCCCCCCCCCGTTTGAGCAGAGAGGCCAGGTTGTGGAGCGCAGCATGGTAGGTGTCCAGGCTGCAGCAGGCGCACTCTATGGCCAGCAGGGTCAGCACACAGTCTGCTAGGGGCAGTGAGGCCGGCGCCAATGGAGTATCCAAGTTGACATCACACTTGATCACCCTCTTCACCGCGGCTCGAAGCTTCTCCTCCTTCTCCATCCACCGGCCACTGCAGAGAGAGGGCTGTGCTCAGGGGCAGGTGGGGGCAGAGGGGGGGCACATCTGGACTCAATGGAGCTCTTAGCCACCTATGACCCAAAGGGTTGCTACTCCTCGGGCCTAGTGGGACATGATGGTGACCCAGCCTGCTCCGCACCCTCATCTCCCAAGCAGGAAAGTGGAGGGGCAGAGAGACAGAAACCTCCCTCTCGCTGGCCCCTTGTGAGCCCCAAGGAGATTAATGAATAGTGATGAGTGTGGGGCTGTTAACCACATGGGCAGCAATTGGAACAACCAGCTGTGGGAGAAAGATCCTAAAGAGGTGTTATAGGCTCAGAAACCATAGGGGGCCCTTCTACCCTGCCCTGCTGGGTTGCTATGAGCTGCAATCAGCTCACTCGCAGTGTGTGGCTTTTTGAGTTCCGTGTATGGATTTGCATATGTTAAAAATATAATGTTGGATGATAACAAGAGAATCTGGAAGATAGCCTAGAGAAATCTGCCATAAAGTCCAACGGTGAGTAATTTTTTTTTTAAGGAAACTGGACTGGACTTAGAATCTTTAGTGACAAGCAAGTTCATTTCAAATCTATCTTTTTAAATAAACCAACCTGGTTGTCTGGACATACATAAATCTGGGATGAAATCTTTTTTTTTTAAAGCAAGGGAATTGCCCTGTAACGCTTGTAATTGTGAAGATGGAATAAATAAATCATTATGTTTATTTGAAGAAAAAAAATTGAAGGCAGAGAATTAGAAATCTTAACGTTCATATGAGTGATTTCCTCAGGGGAGGGGAAGAATAGGGGAGAGGCCCGAGTGAGTCGCTGCCAGTGTTTTTATCTGAGCACGCAGGGTGGGTGGTGGGTCCATGTCACCTCGTGCAGCACAGAAACAATAGATACAGGTGACAGAAGGCGACACAGGTGGGAAAATGATAGATTATGGACAGGTAGGCCGGTGGGTGGGTAGGTGGTTGGATGCATAAATGGGTGGATGGATGGATAAACAGACAAGAAGTCGGACAGAAGGAGACAGACAGACAAATACATAGATATAGAGACATCAGTAGGTAGGGAGGGAGGTAAATAGGTAGATGGATAGAGCAGTAGGTGGATGGACAACAGAAAACCAGAAAGACAAGGAGAAACATAGAGACAGCCACTCAGCCAGATAGATAGATACAGAAACATAGGTAGGTAGGTGCCGGGGGTGGGGTTGGGGGTGGATGGAATAGAGGAGTAGATAGTTGGACAGAAAGAAGGAAAGATACAGACAGACAGACACTGAGACAGACACAGTCACAGCACAGAAACCTGTTCCCAGAGCTGCTGCCGTCCGAAGCGTGTAACAGCAGCAGATGACAGGCCACAGAGCCCTCTGAGAAGGGGGCTGCTGCCCAGCTCCCGAGAGCCCCCTCCCTGCCCTCCAGGCCCCTACCTGTCTCCCTCCAGCTCACAGGCATATTTCACCACCGGCGACCAGTCAAAGGCACCCGGCTCCTGCTTCAGCCACTTTCCCAGCTCCTGGCGGTTGCAGTCAGAGAAGTCCGAGAGGGTGATGTCTAGGAAGGACGAGCAGGCGGCGAGCACCTGATAGATGGTGGGGCCCGAGCCAATGTCGATCAGCATGTCCCCCATGAGGCCTCCTGTGGGAGGGGCCGAGAGGACTGAGTCTGGTCCAAGAGTCTGAGAGCCCATAGAACCTTAGGAGGTGAGGCCCTGCTGTGTCAGCCCTGGGGGTGGGGGCATGGGGAAGAAATGGGGCCCTAGAATGACTCCCAGTGTGCCCGACCAGGTGCTGCCCACGGTGAGAAGCAGCCTCAATTTGGACCATGGTCATGGGCTGACAGTTTCCTGTGTGCCACACCAGAACAACAACAAACAGACTCGGCATCGACTGACGCACATCAGTCCTGTATGTGCCAGAGCAGAACTCAGTAGCTGATTTGGGGAGTTAGATCATAGTTCTTTCTTCTAAGGGACTCCAGGTGGATCGGAACCACCAACCACCCCGTTAGCGACAGGCTGTGACCCACAGGGACTCTGTGTGCTGACCGCAGTGCTAGATGCAGGCAGTCACCACATGACCAGTGTGCTCCACTCCACGGCTGTCTTTAATGTATCAGATGTGTAGCTGTCAGAACAGCGAGGCATGCTTCATGTCTAACATCAGCTACTCAAACACTTGTCTTAGCGGACAATGGACCTTTCTGTGTAAAAAATGAACACGGAAGAGAAACTTCCAGAGACACGGAAACATCATTGACATCGTAATCTGGTTTAGGGGTGTGTAGCCAAGTAGCCCCCAAGTATTATTACCGACCATGATATGGTCGGTAATCATTTGACCAATATGTCAAACACTTAATAAAATAGGCTTTACGAGGTTTAGTTTCTCACCAGGGTTGGATGTCGATTTGATGCCGTAACCCAGGCACTGCCTGCGTTTTATAGGCATCCTTTCCACGTATCCCTGTGAACCATCCTGTGTAGGGGCCAGTGTGGTTGGTTCCATTTTACACATGAGCAAACCGAGGTGAGGAGTGGTTAACGGTTAGCCGGACAATTCTCATCTGAGAGCATGACCGCAGACCCTGCTCTGGAGGACCTCTGCAGCAGTGGCCCTTTAAGATTGGCGGGGACATCCCTGATGTCCGGGCTGTGTGTGTCCCAGTGGGTGAGGTGAGGTTTAGCAATGCTGGTCAGGAACAGGAAGCAGAGGCTGAGAAAGAGGTGACCCGGGAAGGCGGCTGAGGATCACCTAAAAGCAGGAATGAAGCATAACTTCCAAGATTCCATCGGGAGCCGGGCTTACAGCCATCTCTCCGGGTGGATTCACAGTCCACCAGGCTGTTCTCTGACGCTGCCTCCCACCCGCCTGCACTACCAGGTTCTGCAGCCTCTTAACCCCCTCTTGCCCCCAGCCCAGGACTTCTGATCCTGAGAAGACTGGGCCCCGGGGTTCCCAATCAAGTGTCCAATGGGAAGGTGTAGCTATGTGAGCCCAGAGGCCAGACCCAATCCTTGTGTAAGGTGGCGGGTGGGGGAGATAATTATGCAGAAGAGGCAAGGGGGTCTGTTTTACAGGGGTGCTGGTGGTTACAATCAAGACCCTTAAAGACTGAAGGCCATGACATCAGAGACCCCACCTGGCATTCCTAACCCCCCAGATGGACTTCCCCAAATATTGGTCACACTATGGTCAGGGGTGGGGTAGGGGGTGACAGACTGTCAGCTCTTCTGTCTGCTATAGATTTCTCTGGACTCTGAAAGTCAGAGAGCCTTCCCTGTCCCACTCCAAAAACTTAAGGGTTAACAGGGAGCATTCTGGAAATTGCACCAAGCTATATTCACCCCCTTGATGCTGTAGTGGTTTCACATAAGGTTACTAACTACAAGGTCCACAGTTCAAAACCATGAGCTATTTCTCCCAAGGGGGGTAAAAAGGGGAGGCTTTCTACTCCTATAAAGTGTTATGCTCTGGGAAGCCCACAGGGGCAGTTCTACCCTGTCCTGCTAGGAGTCAGTATTGACTCGATGGCAGTGAGTCTGGTCGGGTTTGGATAACCCCTGCAGACACACACTCCCAATTCCCCTGCATCTCCCTCCCCCCACATGTCGCCGCCCCTGTTGCATGGCGAGCAGTCACAGCCAACCTCACCCATGCCAGTGCAAACAGAGTGGCAGGCCTAGCAAGTTAACTCACCCCAGCGGCCCCTGGAGAAGACCAGGCTCCCACCCAAGCCAACCCCTGCCCCTCCGACTTCCTGTGCACGCAGGGTCCCATGGAGACCCAGGGTCAAGGGCCTCACCGGGGCCGAAGGTCTTGTGGAGAAACTCCAGGCTAAACTTCAGCACCTCGGCCTTGGGGGCAGGGCCGCTGTCCAAGCTGTAGTAGGTAGTCAGGTACGCCCCTGGCAGGAAGTACTTCTGGTACGCCTCTCCGCCCTTGAAGCCGCCCTCCATGGTGGCCCGTGTGCACGCCCGGCTTCCCCCACCCGGGCTTATGAAGCTCCAGATGCTGCAGACTCCACCCCAGGACCCAGCCCACCCCCCCTGCTCCTCTCAGTGGGCCTCCCCTTCTGCAGTCTGGGGAAGGGACACATGGTAACCCAGAAGCTACAGCAACACCCACCACCTGCCTTTTGGAGAAACAAGTCCGAATCCCTTAGGATTATTGATGGTGCCCAGCCTTGAGTCACGTCCTCACCTTGGCCAGCCCCGTGCTGCTAGGAAACCCAGGGACAGTGCCCAGCCTTGGGTTCCCCATGTGCTTGCCCACTTCCCCTGGCTGTGAGGACTGAGCTCGCTCTCCTGAGTCACAGTTGACCAGAGACTGTGCAGGTGGCCCTGTGCTTGGACGACAGGGAAGGCTCTCTGCAGGCCCAGTGTCCCAGTGCAGAGAGAACTGCTCACTGTGTATCCCCGCCCTGAGGGCCCCTCTCCATGGCCTGCCACTCTGTGAGCTCCCCTCATTCCCCTCGAAAGGGGAAGAGAGAGTCCAGGCAGAGAGCACAAACTCGCCAGGGGGCCCTCAGGTGTCCTCCCTGTGAGATGGGAGTGCATTGTCCAGCCTCCCACGGGCAGAGAGAAAAGCCCATTCTCCCCTTGGCACAAGGAAGTACCCGTGCCTTGGCCACAAGCCAGCAGAAATTCACTAGCTGGCTTCCAGGCCCAGGACTCTTCCCCTGGAAATAGGAGAGAGAAAATTAGCTTGCCCTGCCTTTAAGGAAACAAGCAATCCCAACCTCTGCTCACACAAACCAGACTGACCCTGCTCAGGGCCCAGCAGACTGAGCCCTCCACAGAGGCAGGAACACACAGGGGCTGCCTTCAGGGCCCCGTCCCCACGGGGTGGGAACAGGGGGCAGCCTCTGGGTACCCGGGACTGTGGCTCCAGCCTACAAAAGACACTGAGGGCAAGCGGGAGGCTGAAGCACTCAAGAGATGTCATTTGAGGAGCATTGAGCAAAGGGGTGGTATTCCCTGGAAGTACCGACGGTTCTCCGCAGCTGCTAACCAAAAGGCTGGAGGTTCAAGCCCATCCAGAGACCTTTCAGAAGATCGGCCTGCTGATCAGCTTCCCCCAGTGAGTCGCTGAAACACTACCCTGCTACACACAAGGTCACCATGAATCAGGGTCAACTCAACAACTGGCTGATCAGCAAAGGTATGCACAAGGGTGAGTGAGGGAAGTCACCAGGTGCCCTGAGGCTGGTAGCAGGGAGAGCCATTAGGACCCCAAGGCCTGAGGGAGGGGCCACTGGACACAGGGACAGGAGGCTATGCAGAAGGGCTTCTGCCACAGCCAACAGGAAAGGACACCCAGGCCAACTTCTGACTCCCTCCAACTTCCTGCCAAATCCAGCTGAGGT